AATTCATTATTTCAACCAATACTTTTTTGCTGCAACCAACATTATTAATTAGTAAATCTTGTCCTTGATGACGATTTTCATCCAAGAATTTTGTTTTTTATACTTTAAAACGATGGACAAGTATTTAATTATAATTATAATTTTTTTTCTTATTAAATGCACGAGGAGTAAATAAATCTTTTTAATCCCCCTTAACGAAACTTTTGATAGAAATAATTATGAGTGACAAGATGTACTAATTAATGAAAGACTCAAGATAAGAAGACAATAAAAAAAAGTTGGGGGACATAAATGTGATAATGACTAAAAGTTGCAATTAAAATTTTGTGCACTTATAAGAAAACGTGATGTGAATATATTTAGCCTTTAATCTTTTGTTTTTAACACTTTTTATATTGTGTTAAAAATGGAAACTGTGTTGGCCAGGCAGGTACTTTGAGAAAAGGTTCAGCCCGGGCAAGGCTACTATGGTGGACATGATGGCCCATGCCCATTTCTTTGACAACCCTAAATGGAGTGGAATGAGCTTCGAATTAATTTGAGGAAATTAGGTTAGTCTTGCTACTGATTTTAAAAGTTGGGAATATTATGTTAGGAATTCGATGAGATGATGTGGCGTGATGTGAAGTATAGATTTCACAAACTAATAAATAAGAACAAAATTTAAAAGAAAACAAACAAGAAATTGGCAGTGGAATCGAATATTTTATTAATGACAACTAATTGAGAGAAAATACAACTTTCAACAACTTCAACAATCTATTAAGCTGAATAAAGAGTCTACTATTTATGGGGTCTAAAAATATCACAAATATGGAAATAAAATAAAAGAAAATCACGTAGAATAAATGATATAGCATTTTCCCAATATTTTTCTAATAANAAAAATATCACAAAGATGGAAATAAAATAAAAGAAAATCACGTAGAATAAATGAAATAAAATTTTCCCAATATTTTTCTAATAAAACACGTAAAATAAAATGAAATAATATTTTTTCAATAAAACACGTAAAATAAAAGAAATATATTCTCAAAATATTCTGTCTAATTTGGGTCACAAAATTCAATAATCTCCATATTAACACAAATTCCGATGCAATGAACAAAACTTCAAAATTTTTCCACCTGAAAAAATAAGTCCGACTGCAACGAACAAACTGAACTCTTCATCTCAAACCAAACTTCTCCAACACATGAAAAATATCTTCCACCATATCCAACATGGATAAATGAACCCAACCACCAGGTTCTCAAAATTCACAAAGAATTCAAAATTTACCAAGCAGAGTCGAAGCACACCCTGTAGCAGAATTAACATTAAATGCTTTAACTAAAAACCCTTGGCTAGACTCGTAACTTCAACAACTCCAAAATCATGCACATCTAGATCAGCATCCACGTACCTATCTCCAATGTGTCTCTCCCTAGTCGTTGAATACAATGGAACCGCAGACTGTGGTGGCAAAGTTGAATTACCAATATCCCCTAAACTCGCCAGAATAGTATTCTCTAAAATAGACCTAGAGCCAACTCCCAAC